ATTTTTGGTAGGAAAGACTTGAGTCAATATCAAAAACCGAATTTAAGTCATTCCTAACAAAACACCAGGGATATTAAGTTTATTTCTCTGTTGTATCCTGCAGAAAGTTTTTTGTATTGTGATTGCTGTATTATTCTTATCCTGTATTAGGGAATTCAAAGCATCAAAATTCTTGGAATGAATTTTCTTTTAGTCTCCATCCTTTGCAAGTATCAAAGGAGATTTATTTCTTCCTTCGTTCTTATGGTGTCATTGCTCAACTGCTGTTTTGGTATTGGTTGAGAGATCTGTTGAGATGGGGACCAATTATAATTTATTTATCATTTTACTCATATCCATTAATTTTTGTGTCTTGACTTCTATATTTAATACTTATTTTCTATGTCTTATTGTATTTTGTTTATATCTCTTTAATATCTAGTTTTCTGTTGAACTATTGCAACTTTATAATGATAAATTTATCGTTATGAGCCGTGACTTTGAAAGCTTAATGATATAATATTATGTGAAAATATGTAAATATTAATATTTGTAGAAAACGTTTACAATTAAAAGTAATTTTTCAGGTTAACTGCAAATCAGGTTACTATAAGCCATAGTCTAGCTCAGGCCAATCTTTAATCGAGTGAGTTCATCATTATAAATCATGTATTCTGTAAATTTAACAGTAGTACTAAACAGTAATCAGATTACTGTGATCATTATTTCATTTATTCAGTTTCTGTTGATGCACTGATAACTTGGAAGCAGGCGTATAAAATTTCTTCTCATTATATGGTATGTGTAGTTCATAAACTGGATAACTCTGTGATGAAATTGTGTCTGTTAAGATATTTTTGTGTTTGGTACTAGTGCGTTTAATATATGTTATGTGTTTTATTTATACGTAGTACATAAGAGGAAAGAAATAAGCACATTTGGAAGTAAGAAAAGAAATTTAAATAGTGTTTTATGCCAAGAAACACCAGGTTACCCAATGAAATTATGTTCAGTATAGTGACTATAAAGTTAAGGAATTTCTGAATAAACCTTTTTATTTAACTTGTGAAATATCAAAGAACTTTGTTCTATTAAGGTCAGGAATCAGATCATTGTATTTCTTTTTTAAATTGCTTATTCTTGTGTGAGTTTTAATCATACAAATAGTGATATACAAGTTGTATGGTGAGTGACTCCCTTCTGAAAATAATGTTTCTTATGAAAAATTGTGCACTGGTTTGGTAAATATTCCCTCCAATAGTTTATTACCGAATTAATCACAAAGTAGTACATATATTTTCTTACTGTATTTTTTATTTATAGATGGTCTCAGATTATAATATAAATTTTACACAATTGAATGAGTGCAGTAGAAGTAGAGTTGTGTACAACTCCCATCACTTCCAATTAATAGATTGATTCATATAGTTATCTTTTTTGTTTGTTTTGTTTCTGAGACCAATTCAAATAAATGTATCATTCTCATTTTTGTTTGTTTCATTTAATTTTTGTAGAGTTATTAATTTTTATTGGAGATGTAAAAACTCCATCTAAATTGTTGAATTTTAGTTGAAATAATGATCAACTAAAAGCAGGTCCTCTAACATTTTCCTCGCCACTTTTTCACTTGGCTGCCTAAGTACCCATCTCTTGTGAGATAATTATTTTACCATATGCATTTTGTAATAAGTTTTTTCATCTTGAATACGTCCAGACTGTGATTGACATGAGGAGGGTGGAACCTGTAAGAAATGTAGTTTGTATAAGTTGAGAGAAAAAAAAATCATCTGGAAGTTGGACCAATGGGTTCTTTTATAATCTAAAATGGGTTTGTTGATCTTCCCCACAATTTTCAGTAAAATTTTAATGAATGTATTATTTTTATAATTGTTTGGCCAACTTTTAATTAATTTTTAATCAAATGGCTAATGAATTTTCAAGGGTAACATATATGAATGATTTGTGCATTTTTACTATATCGCATTTAGTGTCTCAGTGATATCACCAGCTGATAAAGAGTTGTGGAACTGTTGTTTACAAAACATTTGTAATCGACTTCTTTTCTCAAATTAAATTGTTTTCATGAAGAATTTATTGTCTTTTTGGTAAGGCTTTCATCTCTTTTCTTTAAAGTTGTTTTTGCACCATGTTTTTATACCTAATCAGTTAAAAATTTCATTATTTTGTGACAGCCATCTAATACAATATTCTATTAAGTTCTGTTTTGTAGTTTCTTTAAGAAGAGAGAATTATGTTAAATGGTATTTTTAATTTTTTTAGTATCATTGTATTTCTTTCACAGAATATCAGATATTTCTGTCATGCTATTTGTAGAGTAATCATTGTTATGTGCTTTCTAAATTCTCTCTAAGTCTATAAACAATTTCCATCTCAGGAGATTGTGCAATGTACTAATTTAATATGGAACAAAATTCATATAAATTATACTTCAATTTTAAATCATTTGCTTTTACAAAACTAGTATGTAGGCATTTCCACAACTTTAACACAGTTGGGGGGGGAAACTGGATTTTTTAATGTATTTATTGTACTAAAGATGGACATCAATGATTAATCCAACAATTGATTTTCTTGAAGCCCCTGAATAAATATTTCAATTGTGCTTACTTCCAGCTATCAACACAAGTTGATAACAATGATACAATGGTAAATCTTGCAGATTGTTTCATTTTGTCCTTCTCTTGATTATTTCCAGATGTACTTACATTATGGAAGTCCTATTTAAATTTTTGCATTTTAATGCAACTGAGTTGAAGGTCCACAGTTTTCCTTGGGAGATAATTTACTTTATGTAATGTGATTGATTTTTTTATATAGGCAAAGCCAAGTATTTTCAAGCTTTAAACAGTTTGAATTAATCATGTTATGCATCTTAAAACAACTAGCTCAGTTATGCATGCGTGTTTTGCAATGATTTAACAAAATTGGCCATGTACCTTTTTTCATCGCTCACATAATACATGGTAGAAATCAGTAAATTTTTATATCCTTGCTTTTTATTATTTTTTAGAAAGCCTTGTATTAAAGGCTTCCAAAGTGCAATATGTGCAATTTAAAGTGTAATAAGTTCTCCAGTCCAATGATCGTTGCCTTTAATGATGTGTAACCCCATTATATTATTTATTTACAAATGGTTAAAATTCAGTTTGTTCTTTTGCTCGTATATTAAGTATATTTTTATTATAACAGATAATGCTGATGACATCCACCCAATGACTTATGATTTTATAATTAACTATTGTCAGATATTCATGCTGACTTTTTGTATATGTTATGATTATTTATTGTTCGCAATTGCAGAACAGTGTAACTCATCATTTTAAGTCGTATAGTTATTACAAGATTAATTTTCCATAAAACTTACGATGTATCCAAGAATTATATTGTGCATTTTATTTGATTGCACATTATTTTTCACTTATATTCAGTACATGTATTTGTTGACCTTGCTGTGATTTTAATTATTTATGAAACTATATAAAAAGTATGTGAGATTGCCTGTGTAAGTTCATAGTTTTTAACATTATTGATATTTTTTTATTTCATCTCCCACAGTTCTTGTATAGAAGGAGTTATTCATTTTATACAACTTGTATTCATGCATAGCATGAACATTACTTTTGCATTATGTTGTATAAGTAATATATTAATCATAATATGCTTATTAGTTCTGTAAACCATATTGATACTGTGAGCCACAAAACGAGTTCCGCAGTATTATTTAATTGTTAACTGTGTTGACTAGTCAGTTACATAAAATAGTAAGAAATCATTGTCTGGTGCTTGTAGGCTTCATTTGTCAAAATATTTGTATGTATTTTGTGTGAATTTGTGGGAATAATAATATTGGTTATCTTCACTGTGATTTGGTAGTTTAGATACCTCATAATTATATTAGCATGTAGATATTTTTATTGATTTTAGTTGTATACTATTAAGATCACATTTAGAGAGGTCAAATAATTTCCAGCCAATTCAGTAAATGATTTATTGCTGTGTATGCCCATATGTTTAGATGAAAGAGCATGCACTGTAACAAATCAAGTACTGCAGTGATTCTCAAACGCTAATTTGTGGCAGTATTGGGCTCAGTGGCAAAAGTATTTATATTGTGGATTTTGCTCAAGACATACCCTTTAGATCTCTGTCATATATTATTGTGTAGACAGGATCCTGCAAAGTATTGTGATTTGTTTTTCTGTTGTGTTTTGGAGTTGATAGTACCTATGAGCTTTTGTAAAGTTTTGCTCACTAAAATTAAGTTTAATGCCTTGTAACTCTTTCTTGTCACTTTTTGTTGCTGATATATTTTCCTCATCAGGATTAAGGAAGATATATGTGTATTTTAAAGAGTTGACTCTTTTGAGAATTATTGCTGTGATCTTACTGTTAGATCCATCGTGGGTCTGATACTGTCATATGAGATGCATAGGATAGCCTTGTGCTGCGTTAAGTATTTTTCATCATTGGAAGAGCTCTGTAACTGTAGGTTTGGGAAGCACTGATATGTTAAGGTACTATTTTTGTGTTAATCCTAGGCAACTATTTTAGAAATTCTGTGAACTATATTAACATATTTTTTTCTCTACTCTAAATTGTTTCCTGAGCTAGGCTTCAGCCAAATGAATGTATTTAGTGTATATTTTCATATGCCAATTGCTTGTATTAATTAGATGCTTAAAAATGTATTCTGTAGAAAATTTCAAAAATTCCAGAAGCTCATCAGGAATTTGACTCGTATAAAACCATTGAAAGTTGTAAATAATATACTTGCTGGTCTAAATACACTATTTAAGATTTTCCGTCATGAACTATTAGCTTATCCAACTTGGGAGTGAGTTAGCAATAATCAGCAATAGAAAGATGATTTCATGCATATGCAAGTTGCACCAAAATGAAGATAAATACAACACCAAGCTTCCATTTAATTATTAGTTGTTTCTAAGATTCTCCATTTTCTCACAGCCTGATGATAAATGTCCTGGCTTAACAGTATTTGTTCTTTAGGTATACTGTGATGCTTCTGGTCAGCAATATTTCTGTGACTGAGGATAAATTGGAAAGTGTGCTATGTGAAGTTTGGTTATATAGAGCAGATTAATTTTCTTCTTTAATTGAGCTCATAAAAATTTGTGCTTTTATTTATCTATTATGTATGAACATGCATTTGTCAGCACACATCATAAAACAAAATAGCATGATTTTCAAATTATCTTTTTAAAAATCACTAGTGTTCAATTGCTTTTTATAAAATAAAAATTATTTCTCTTTGCCAATCTATTAGCAGTAATAATACAAATAATAATATTAATAATAACACTAATGTGCACTTAACAGTTTTCATGTGCCTTATTTATTTTATAGAGTTCAGTGTCCCTGTATACTGTGCTCCTTATGGAGCTTTCTATCATGAGGAGCAGTTTCTTATAAATCAACACAACTGAATTGAGAAAATTTTTTAATTATATCAGTGCAATGACATTACTGTGCCAGTTGTCACTGTATCAAATTCTCTTCTGTTCTTCAGGTTGTCATGAACTTTTTTGTTATGTGTAGAATAAAATAGCTAATATATTTGTAAGAAGTATGGATATCTCGATTGTATTGATTGGTTGTTGAGAGGAAATGTATTTTAAAAGATACTTCCAAGCATCAGTGGTAAAGGTAAAGGGAATAGTCATTCTGACTGTAAGAAAAATTTCATATTATTCTAATTCTTGACTTTTACTTAGGAAACTAGGAAAGTTTTCGTCTTTTCTTTACTAAAGCTACTTATGCAGTAGGTTTTCCTTCTTCTTTTTTTATATAATACTAATTAGTGTATGGTATGTTTATTGATGTAATTACATTGAAATTATCAAATTAGTCCGTTCTGAAAAATAAGTGACTGTTGATATACACTACATGAATAAATACTTCCAATTATATAGGACTGGAGTTGGTCATATCATGGTCCATTACAATCTAGTTTGTTCTTATTTAAATGTAATCGTATTCATTAAAATGAGGTTTTGCCAAATAAGGTTGTTTTTGGAACTTTATATTCAAATCAAGTTTATTTCTGAGAAGTATTTATTACTGAAACGGCTGTAATACATACATTTTTTTGTTCTGTCCCTTTAACATTATTATTTTATTTACATTTTTTGTTAAAATATATACAAGATTATGAAATTTCTATATGATTGCTTCTATTCTAATGGTTATTCCATATATTAGTGTAGAATTGTTAGATGCATCAATACATTTCACTTGCTTTATGCATGTACTCTATGCATTCTGCCAAATTTCACTGATAACTTTTGTGTATTTATTAAGTTGTAAATTTTGCTACGTATGAAGTATTAACCTGTATTATTTTATCTTTATTGATCTCTTGTAAAATTATAACCTCTTGCTTTTCCATTCAGAAATATTAAAAACTTTTCATAATTTTAAAAAGTTTACTTTAGTTGCCAGATTTTCTCAGAATAACTAATTTTTGGAATGTATACGTTTTTGCATACCTTCCTGAAAAGAATTATATATATATTATAATTATATATATATATA